AGAAAAACAAACGTGTGAAGGGGAAAAGTAGATTTGCAGTTTACACAAAGAGCAACAGCAACAAAAACAAATGTCTTTGCGGCGAATGGACTTTGAGATAAATTTGACTTCAGACCCGCGTATATTACTTTATCTATGTTGGACTTTTGGGGGGGAACTGAGACCCATCTAGATAAGACTGCCACTTTGAGGACATTGGAATTCCCCTCATGTGAATGTGTCATAGAAACACAGGCGGAGAACGTGCAAAGTGAAAAAGGGTGGCCAGGGGCGGGTGTGGGAGAGAATTAAGAAGAGGACAATTTCAGCATTAGTGACTCTCTCTGGCTGCTTCTCCAAACATTACACGTTCATACACCCTCGTGGACGTCTGCCTGTCGTCCGCACACAGATATGTAGAAACAAAGTCACACACACACCGGGCCATCCATCCAGAATGAAAAAACTCTGAATCATTCGACATATTACTCACAGGCTACAGGCTTAAATCTGTGTTTGTTGCTACATGTTACTATTGGTTACTCTTGGCAGATGCATTACATTCAAGCTCTTTGCCAAGTCAGGGTGTACTGTCGAACAATAATAAGTGGATATTTCTTGAGTCTCTTCAGGTGGCTCAGCTGCTCTGAAGTGTTCGGCTAAGACCTGGACGTATATGACGTGAGAGGCCGAGTCATTAATCAGTTATAATCAATGTTTTTATGTGGAGTCTCACTTTCCAACGTCCCTGCACCTATTTTACATTCTCTTGTGTTGGGGTTGAGAGCTCATAGCTGGAAGGACAACGCAGTAATGGAGTAATGAAGGGTGGACGGTTTATTAGCTCAGTCCCAGAGAATGAGCAACAAGCGCAATCCTGATGTTGACTTTACTGCTACGTCTATCTGAAGCGTTGTGCTTCATTTTCCTGAATAACATCAGTTTTTTATAAAACAAATGCTGTGAAGGTTCTTGTCATTTTAAATGAGGATGTAGATACCCTGAAGTACTACATGTTTCACCAGTAAAAACACACTTTCATATTCTTCAAAATGGTGAAACTAAATGACTTCATGTTCGTAATATCCTAAATTTCTTTGTTGTGCAACTTCAGCCTCAAGAATGTTTTAGAATTGCCCTGATAAGCGCTTGTGATAGAGACAGACAACAGACATCTGAGGGTGGTTGTCCCCAGGATTAATCATCCAGGGATAAAGATTTGATGCGAGGCCCCAACCACAGTGCACAGAAAGGGTCTAATGTTTAAGTCTAAAGTTTGCTGGTACTAACTCCTCTAATCGGAATATTTGTATTGTGTTGGACATTACTTTTGCCAGTAACTAGTAGTATAAAATTACATTTTCAAATGCATAGTTATAAATATTGAAATTCAAACCTGCTTGGCACTTGTTACCTGTTTTTGTCCATGAAATTGACCATTGCAGAAAAAAATTTGACAAACGCAGCCACCCCCCGACTTAACATCACAGGCCGAGTAATGATCGATTTATCTTCTGGAAATAGGAACATTATTTTAGGGACAGAAATATACTGTTGAATGGTAGTGTAGTCCTTCATATTTAAAGAATAATGATTTAATCTTCATCCTGTGAATGTCTGAGTAACAGTAGTTCTTTCACTTCCGCCTGAACAATATCACTGACGCCGTGTTTGATTTGAAGCCAGTCGAGGCTACAACAAACAGACCTGTTAAAACATGTCTGTTGCATTTTATTGTTCCTCTACTTTCTTCATCACAGTGATAATGGGCACATGATAGAAACGATTTGACGGTTGTTTTGTCACAGAATCAGCAACACATTGTTTGTGTAAGAGAATTGAAGAAGACATTTAAAAGTAAAAGTCCTCTGAGTTTTTTTTTATGTGTAAATGACCTTTCGAACACTTGGATGACACCACAGAAGCAGCATTTTATGTTTTTTTTCCCATTTACTTCAATTGTTGGATTTGGCTGCAACGCTGTTTACCCCTGAGACTCCAAAAGTGTTTTGTGGACTCTAACACTTCGCCCACCCCTCCATGTGTTGAGTGCTGAGTAGATGTTGAGAATCTGTGTGTTTTAGCGTGTATGAAACCAGGACAAGACTCATGGTTCAAACACAGAAACTCACAAACAGCCCTGTGGATTTTGGATCTTGAAACTTAGAAGTGGCCCTGGGATTTGGATCTTGGGACCTGTGGATCTTGGGCACTGTGGATCTTAGGGTCTGTGGATTTTGGATCTAGGGCACTGTGGATCTTAGGGGCTGTGGATCTTAGGGGCTGTGGATTTTGGATCTTGGGCGCTGTGGATCTTAGGGGCTGTGGATCTTAGGGGCTGTGGATTTTGGATCTTGGGCGCTGTGGATCTTAGGGGCTGTGGATCTTAGGGGCTGTGGATTTTGGATCTTGGGCGCTGTGGATCTTAGGGTCTGTGGATTTTGGATCTTGGGCCCCTGTGGATCTTAGACCCTGTGGATCTTGGCTCCTGTGGATCTTAGACCCCCGGTGTATGTGCCTCTTCCCCTGCTCAGGGCTGCAGCTCTGCTCGCTGTGTCTCTGGGATCATTCAGACCACTTGGGGGCCTGTGTGTCTGGAGGAGGAGCCTGAGTTGGAGGAAGTAGCTCCACAGATTGGATGTGTGTGTCTGTGTGTGTGTTGTGTGTGTGTGTTTGTGGAGCAGTTACCTCCACACTGAGAGAGTCGCTAACCACTGGACTGTAAACGGGGAATTTAAAGGACGATCCTCGGGAGGAAAGAAGCCGAACCCCCGCAGATCGTGTCCGTGTTTTTAGTGTCCGACCCTCGGTGCTGGTCGAAGCGGTGCAGCCGGCGGAGCTGACGCGGGCAGCAGTATGCATTCAGACTGCAGGCTGCTATCGGCAGAGCGGTAATGGTGGGCAGGGGACCGACAGGGGCCCGGGTCCTGGTCCTGTCGCTTCTCATCATCCTCACCGCGGAAACATGTCGAGCGCAGAAAGGTTGGTTCCGCTCGACAACCCGGAGGAACCGAGCACAACCACACACACACACACACACACACACATACACAGAGACAGACGCCGCCATGCTGCTTTTAAAAAACGCGTGAACACGGGCGGGTTGAGGTGTTGAGGAGAAAAGCTTTTGTGTTGTTGTTGTCCTCCAACATTGAACCCACCTCACGTGTTCGTGTGGACGCGGAGTTCCGCTCGGTTTTCGCCTCTTGCCGCCGCCCGCCACGGTGTTTTTCAGATGGAGGACGGGACTAGCTAAACCAGGCAAACCGGTTCTGAAAAGCCTGATTGTAAACGAATAACTGCTTATCAGAGGGATTGAACGCTCGCAGAATCAACACATAGCTTTTAACCGATGTGATAAAAGTTACAACTCACAGTGTAATCTTTGTTTACCTCTTCTGATAAGCTTGTAAACGTTAAATTGCGAGTCCTCTAAACGGAGTCTGGTTTTTAAAGTTCCCCGTGTGAGACAAACGGCACATTTGGGGGAGGTTGTGGCCTTGTTGTGCTTCCAAGTTGCTCGGTTTCCGCTTTTACCTTGAATCTAATCACACAATCTGACTAAATGCATCATATTTTGATTGTTAAAAGATTCATTTACACCCTCTTGTGCCCCAAAACGTGGATTTAGTAGTTTTCCTCAGAGGCCACAGGCAGCTTCAGGTGGCCACAGATTGGGGGTAGGGGAAGCAGCCTGTGGGGGTTTGAGTGTAAACACGTGGACACAGTTTGTCACAACTTTAAATGTAAAGTGTCTGAACACGTGGTGCACGGGGAGCAGTTTAAAAGGTGGATTTCTGTCTCGGTGAAGTTTTGGATGGTTTAAGCTGTTGCCCTGAGGAACTCCTGCAGAACACCGTGCAGTTGTCCCTGAGCGTCAGTGACTCAGAGTGAGGCTTTTTGTTTTTGTCCTGTTCATCTGGATAGTGTCCACTGAGGGCCTCTTACGTAACTGCAGGCTGGACAGAACATCCACTTAGCACCACTGAGCGTGACTGCTGAGTGTTGTCTCAGAGCCATGAGGCCACAACATCAACACACACACGCTCACACAACACGTCTGTGCTTTCTGACAGCTCAGAGATGCAGCACACACCAAAGATCAAACCTTCCCCCCCAAAAAACTCTGCGCTCATAATTGTCGTAAAAAGGTCACAAGGCTGTGAAAAATTGAAGTCGAGGGTCGTTAAATTGTCGTTTAAATTTTAATTAATCGGTCGTTAACAGCTAGAAACTAATAAAATCAGATAGCGGATTCTTAAATTTTATGTTTTGGTCAGATTTAGTTTCTGCACAGTGCAGCCAAAAGGTTTGATTGGCTATAAAATGCAAAGCCAACCTAATGTGTACTGAATTATTACGCGACATAAATTTGGCAGATGCTTTTATGCAAAGCAAATAACGTCCTTTTTACACCACATCCGCACACAATGTGGGTTTCGGTGCCTTGCTCAATGATAAATCAACAATTACACTTACCTGATGTCCTGACCTGCAGAAATAAACATAAACCCCAAACACACAAAGCCTGGAATTAGAAATAAATAATGTTAGATAAGGGCTGCAACTAACTGTTATATATCAATATTAATTTATCTGTTGGTCATTTCTATTTATTCCAATTATCTTCTTTTGTCTTTGAAAATATTTTATGTCTGATTTGAATTTCTTGAGTCCTAGGTGACGCCGTCAGGTCGCTCATTTCTTCAGAGCAACAGTCCAGAACCCAAAGATATTCACTGTACGATGCTATAAATGAAGAAAAGCACCTGGTCCCCATTTTGGAGGATAACATTTAGCATTTGTGCCGAAAAATACTTCTACATTCATGAATTATCAAAGTACCTGCTAGTGAAAATCATTCGGAAACACTTAGTACTTATCAATAAATCAATTCTTTGCAGCCTGAGTTTAGATTGATTACAGTCTGTGGTCCCTTTATTTATTGTGTATACGTAAGGGAACTAAAGTCACTGATACAACATGTTTAGCGGTAAATAAAGTAGAAGAAGCACACACTGTGTACATGTAGCCTCTCAGAAACAGATTTGGATGCTAGAAATTTAAAGACATGTAAAATAAAGCCTGTGTTGTCCACAATTTTTCTTCTTATTGACAACTCATCCCATGACAAAAACAAACGTCATCCTTTCAGCCTCCTACAATCACAGACCCATTCTTTTCAAAGACATTTGAATGAAAGACTAATACATTACCATTGCTTTAATTCCTATTATTGTAACTTATTTATTACTGAAGTACTAAATTCCAAAATCTTGATTTAAAAGTTTAAAGACGGGTTCCTCCCGCCTACTTTTTCCTGACTCTGTGTGTTTGTGTTGCCCTGCAGGTGACGGCTGTGGCCCCAGTGTGCTTGGCCCCAGCAGTGGGACTCTGTCCTCTCTGGGTTACCCGAGGACATACCCCAACAACACGGTGTGTGAGTGGGAGATCAGCGTGCCACGTGGCCACAGGATCCACTTTCGCTTTGCGGAGCTGGACATAGAGAACAAGGACTGCCAGGTCAACTACCTCGGCCTATACAATGGCATCGGACCCGGGAGGACTGTGATTGGTGAGAACTGTTGATACTGGACTTGACCCTTGTTTTTATTTATTCAGTGTGATCAATTACTCTGGACATTCTCTGGAGTGTTTCCTGCCAACCCCCCAGTCAAATGGAAACAGAAAAATTATCCCGTGTGAGAATACAGCTGGAAAAGGTCCTGAGAAATGTTGAATCAATTTTGAAATCCCCAAATTTTGAAAACAATTGAGCACAAATATTTAATAATCGAGGAGTAAAGTCTGTTTCTGCTGCGTCATCCTGCAGTAGACTATATGTGAGACCCTGTTTTCAGTTCTTGTTATGTACAGTTAGTTACACCAGCCACCACACAAGGATCATTTCTGTATTATTAATCATTACAATGCTTTGCTGAATGGTCAGTTTGTTGTTGTATACGTTAAACTAACTGGGCTTGTGTAACTAACTACACGCTGTGTCTCTGCGTGTGCTATTCAACAGGGAAATACTGCGGTTTGGGTCTGAAAGTCAAAGATCTCAACGAGTCCACCGGCAACCAGGTCACTGTCCAGTTCATGAGTGGGACCCATCACACTGGACACGGATTCTACCTGTCCTACTCCACCACTGAACACACAGGTAACAATCACACACAGGTCCTGGTCTGCAGCAGCGACAGGAACAGTGTTTTCAGTGAGGTTATCTCTGTGTTGTTTCTGTTATGGTTGGAAAAGTTGCTTGAGTGTTACTGTTCAATCTCATGTTTGTAGCAGTTCTGAGTTATTATATCGTCCTGGAAAGACACAGATGATAAGTGTGTGTGTTTATTTCTAAAACGTAATCACTGCTGTGTGAGAATTTAAAATTTTACGTCCGCTCTGAGGACCATTGATAACACTTGTCTGTTGCTCCATCGTGGTTTAATTCAGTGCCACAATATATCTATTTTTTGAAGTGGAGCTAACAAATGTTGTGACTGCAACCCTGGTTTCTCTGTCATCTTGGGCATAGAACAAATATCTTGGATCCTGTTGGTGACAGAGGAGAAGTTAAGTAATAAGTCAGTAGGATTAATCATATGGGGGCTTTGAATATTTGCACTCATGTTCATGGATACCCGTCTATTTATTAGCATGTTGGTAGATTATTCCGATCAGACAAAAGTGTGGCATCATCTGTGTGTGAAACTGCAGTTCTCAGAGTGGTATATATATCCATATAATCATATCTGGGGAAGTAATGAAGCCTCGAAACCAAACTCTAAGTCCAGCAATTAACATTTCAAATTTGAGTTTTCTGACTGAAGTCCCCTGTAGTGGAGCTATGAGTGTTAATAAGGAAATGAAGAAAATGTAAAATGATTAGGGAGAGTTCTCTTTTGTAACATCAGTAATTAAATAAAATAAATCTGAGTGATGTGTTCCAGACATGATGGAATAAACATTAGAGAGAGACTCGAACCAAAACACATGCTGATGAACAAGTCTGTTTATTCTCTAACGCGCTGCATCGCGTCTCCTGATGCCTTGAAACCACTTTCAGTTCATAAAGAAGACAGTTGCATCCAAAATGCATCTAATTTCTTTCATTATATTTTAGAATTGATTTGTTTTTATGTTCAAGCAGCAAATCCCCAAAATGTCAAAAACCGGGGAACACAGGCCGCGACAATTTCCCCTGAGGTCGAGATGTCTAATGTACAAAAATCTAAACCAGACGAAAGCAGTAAATCGTCACATTCGGGGAGGTTGATAAGTTGCTGGGCTGAACGATAAATTCTAAAAGTTGTTGAAAATTTGTTGCTTATTGAAAAATTGATTAATGGCGTTAGCATTTTGTAATTTGCAGACATTTCCCAACTGCTTCTGCAGCCACAGAACAATTATTAAAACTTCAGTGCAAATGACCTCGGAGGACGTTTCCATAAATAAGCCAGTGAGGAAATGGTTTATATCAGAACTGCTGTAATTAAAAAAAATTAAAAAGTCTGTTGTGGCCAAGCAAAGCAGTGACGTGTGTGCAGGAGGAGAATAATTCAGTCCCGTGGTCATCTTTGTGTGAGTGAATCACACCGGGAGGCAACAAGTCCACCGATGAGTCCGTCTCATTTTTCCACCAAAGTGCAGATGTGATGTTTTTTTTGTCTTGTAACTGAGGGGAGAACGGTTGGTACAGCTGAGTAAACCAGTCACCAGCTAAGTTGTGGTGGTTGCGGGGTGTTTGTCAGTTTGACTCACAGGTTGGTTTAGCAGATATATGGGAGTTTGGATCATGTGGTCATGACTCACAGAGAGTGACCACCACCACATGCAGACGCAGTCCGAGCAGCCCACAATCCCCTGCTGCACGTATGTGCTGCGTCTCTAATCACCCAAACACTCATGTCTTTAGGAACCCCCAACATGCATTCACATTTATGCTGTATGACTTTGATGTTTGTGGAGTCATGTTGAAATTAATTTTTGACAATTAAATAGTTATAATTTATATTTAAAGCAAAATGACATTCCACTGTCTTCAGTTGGAATACTGTCTGCTTTTCTTTGTCTTGATGATATTGAACTGAATGTTTTTAGATTTCTGATTGGACAAGTTGTTGAATATTTCTCCTTGAGCGCTGGGACTTTGAGATGTTATTCACTTTTCTTCGACATCTCCCAAACAATTCACTGGAACGATCTGCAGAGAAAGCACAGATCTTCACATTTAAGAAATTAATGGTTTTCTAAACTAATGACAAACTTATCAAAAATGATTTACATAAACTTTGTATCTATAGAGGAACTGATTAGTCGAGTGTTTTGGGCTGTTGTGGACATCTTGAAGACATCACCTTCGGCTCTGGGAGGTTGCACCGAGCAGATTTTCACTGTTTATTTATTTTTGACAGTTGTTTTCTTTACAGAGGAAAGGGAAGTAAAGGTATTGATGGGTAACGGGTTGACAGGAACGTGCAGAGAAACCAGTTCTGACATTGTTTGTTTGCCCTTTCAGATCTAATTACCTGCCTGGACAAAGGAACTGATTTCCCAGAGGCAGAGTTTAGGTAAATAACGTTTGCTTTGTGCGGATGTTTGTGCAGGGATCAAGTTGTCAGATGCTCATTGCTTATGATCTCTCTTGGTAGTAAATACTGCCCAGCAGGCTGCCTGACGTCCACAGAGGAGATTTCTGGAACTATACCGAATGGCTACAGAGAGGTGAGTGTGTACAGTCTGTAAGCACTGCAGATGTTTTCTTCTGTCTCCAGCATCACATTTCCACGGTCACGGTGCTCATTGTTCTCCTGCTGTTTGGTCACTGTAACCGCACATCATCGCGTCGTTTCTTACTCATTATTTGTCTCATCCGTTGCCGTGCTGCAAGTTTACATTTCTGTCATTTTCCTTTTTCATTTTGATTTGATTTTGAGTGTAAACGCACCCCCGCTCCTTGGCATGCGACTCCTGGGCTGATGACCTCACAGCACCCCCGCTGCGCGTGAGGTCATGGGTGCAGAGTCTCTGACCGATGACCTCATGTTCAGAGCTTGAGATTTTCGTCAAAGGGAAGGAAGGAGGGAGGGAGGGAGGGAGGGAGGGAGGGAGGGAGGGGGAGATGTTGCTGGCTGATGGGAGGACAGGGAGGAGTATCGGGGTGTGCTTCGGGGAGAGTGAGGCGCCCCACAGGAACAGAGGAGGGGCAGGGTCAGCGGGTGAAAGGGAGGTGAGATAATAGTTAATAATAATAATAACGCTCTAATCCAGTCCAGCTGCAAGAGGGTGCTGAGCAGAGCTGGGAGTTCAGTGTGTGTGTGTGTGTGTGTGTGTGTGTGTGTGTGTGT